ATTGAATGCGTTCTTTGGAGAAATGGTCTGTTCATACTTCCCTCTTTGCCCACTTTTTTTTTGATTGGGTTTGTTGTTTTTTCTTGTAAATTATGTTGGGTCTTTGGTAGAGTTCTGGATATTACCCTTTGTCAGATGAGTAATTTGCAAAAATTTTTCCCCATTCTGGTAGGGTTGCCTGTCACTCTGATGGTTAGTTTCTTTTGCTGGTGCAGAAGCTCTTTATAATTAAGATCCCATTTGTCAATTTTGGCTTTTGCTGCTGTTGCTTTTGGTGTTTTAGACATGAAGTCTTTGCCCATGCCTATGTCCTGAATGGTACTACCTAGGAGACTAGGAGTTCAAGATCAGTCTGGGAAACATAGTGAGAACCCATCTCTACAAAAAAAAAAACAAAAAACAAAAAACAAATTTGGGTATGGTGGCATGCACTTGTAGTCCCAGCTGCTCAAGAGGCTGAGGCAGGAGGACCCCTTGAGCCCAGGAGTGCAAGGCTGCAATGAGCCAGGATCCCATGATCACACATCTGTTCTCCAGCCTGGGCAATAGAGCAAGTCCCCATCACTAAATAAAACCAAAAAGCCAAAAAAGAAAAAAGTTAGAGTGTGAGGAATTACCAACTATAGTTTTAGCCTTGGTTCATGCTCTCTTTCATAGTTATATAGTCTCTGACTTGTAATGGACCCTGACTGGAATGTGATTCCTCAGAAACTTAGTAGCCTGAGTCTTTCAGTAGATTACACTGCCCAGAACCATGGCCATTCTCAGAGTGAGAACTTGGGAATTTTTAAGAAGAAATCAAACACGTTTCAGGAAGAGGAAATCTATGGAGTATTATAGGGACATTCCCATGGGAATGTGTCTTCCTCCATGGCAGGTCTTGAGGGTCCTTTCTTGTTAGGAGTTTATCCTGCCATCCGCATGCCCAGTCCTGAGGTTCCAGTCAGAGATGGCATAGGAAATACCCCAGCCATGTGCCACTCATGGACTATTTATTATAAGTGTAGAAAATCACAGAGAAGCAGTTTTGCACCAGCCTTGTTCCTGTGCCTTGTTTTCCTCTTGGTCCTTTTTACCTGTATATCTAATTTATACATTCGTATATATTGTGTATTGATTGAAGTCACTTTAAATCCTTCTTGGGAATGACACAGTATATAAATAAGAAAGAAAGAAAGAAACCATACCAAGCTGAACGTGCTGCCCCAAATAAATATCTGCTTTCCTACTCTGGTGCATTTGATTGGATTAAGCCACCTTCACCACTAAAGTTCAGAGAAGACCCCGACCAACCTAGGGAGTTCTGGAGCTACCATTCTCCTGGCACTACTCAGCCTTTCAGAGCTGAGATTTCCCAAGCAGAAGCATCCAGGCAGGTCTTGCCACTCAGAGGGCCCCAGGAAGAAAGGACTGTATTTTCACTATAATAGGCTCTACCACCCACTCCCATTTTTCTCAGCTCCTTTGGAGGCTTCGTGAATCCATGTGTGCTTGATGTAGAGATCCACACTGAGCAGACTGGAAGGAGATGGCCTGAATGGAGGAGAGTGTGTGTGTATGTTCCTCAACAGTATCCTTATGTGCTCACTTTAGATCCTATTTATTGACACATCCATTTTCCCCCAGTCTCGTTAATTTAATTACATGTGGAGAAAATAGGTTAAATTTCTGCATTAGGTAGACTTCTCTGGGATTTTTGATTATTCATATGTAATTGGATCTAAATTAGCAAAAAATATATATATTTACAGATAATGTAGACATAACATTCAGTAGGTGAGAGACTTCTGGTCTGGACAAGATGGCATTGTCCCATTTCCCCTGCTATGCCCTGCTAAGCACAACTTAATACATTTTGGAAATGGTACAGGAGAAAACCAAAGGAGAATTCTAAAGGGTGTTAAGAAGAAAGCAGGCTGGTTTGAAAACCCAGGACCAGAAGAACAGCACAGAGGCAGGGCATCTTATATCCCCCTAACTATCAGAAGGTGTTTCCTCACTTTCCATCTAGCAGCATAAGGTAGCCCAGTAGCTCATTCTTCCCCCTGAACCTAATGGAGTCCCTCTGGCAACCTCAGGCAGGGGGACTGATTGGGAGTCCTAAAAAAATAAGTGACCAGGGGAAACCCCTTCTTCCCTGCTAGGTCAGAAACTCCTCTTTTCCAAGGAAAGATACTGAGGTGGACAGGAGGAGCCAGTATGAGAAACCTAGGAAAAACAGGTGGTCCAGTTGAGAAAGCCTTTTTGCACAGGCCTAACACTCTCCTCTCCTGCCCAGAGATACTAGAATCGGCTGGTAGAACCAGGAAAAGGGATCTGTCATAGCCAACATCCCTGAAGCCAGCAACCTGATCACAGAAGCCACTTTGTAGAAGCAAGACTCTCCTCCCAGGAGAGATATCTGGGCAGCTAGAGGCACCTGCAGGATTTGTCATAGCCCGACCTCACCAAGAGATACCTGGCAATCCAGTCGGGGAAATTCCTTCCGCCCTTTCAGGCAGCATAACAGAGACCAGTGGGAGCCCTAGATAAACCAAGCAACTAAAATAACACTACAAGGGCTCTGAAAATTAAGCTGCCATTAGAATTATGGCCCACAAAAGTAGGCTAAAACTGTATGCTAAACCTAAACAGAGTGACTCCTTGTAAAATAAAATATTTAAATAGAAATTAGTCTCCTAACATAATAGGCAAAGTATTCAGAGTGCAAACCAAGAGCCAATAAAATCACAACTTGAATGAAAAAGGCAATCAATGGATTCCAGCAGAGATGAACCAGATATTGGAATTATCTGATAAGAATTTTAAAGCAGGCATCATAAAAACAATGCAACAATCAATTACAAATTCTCTTGAAACATGAAAAAAACAGAAAAACCTCAGAAAAATAGAAGTTTTATCAAAAGGAAACATGAAAATTATAGGACTGAAAAATACAGTAACAAACTGAAAACTCACTGGATAGGTTTAATAGTATGGTAGAGATGATGGGAGATAAAATCTGTGAACTTGAGGACAGAATAATAGAATTTACCCAATCTGAACAATAGAGAGAAAATACACTGGAAAAAATAAACAAACCTCAGGGACCTATGGAACAATAACAAAATATCCAGCATTCATATTATTGGAGTAACAGAAAGCAAAGGAGAAAAAGGATAGGGATGAATGAGTATTTGAAGAAATAAGGCTGAAAACATTCCCAATTATATAGAAGACACTAACTTAGAGATTCAAGAAGCTGGATGAATCCCACAGAAGAAAAAAAAATTCCATGCCCAGGCACATTATAAATTTTTGAAAACTAAAGACAAAGTCCTGAAAGCAGCAAGTGAGAAATAGTGCATTGCTTGTAGGGGAACACCAATTTGAATGGATTTCTCATCTGAATCCATAAATAAGGAAGTGGCCAAATATTTTTTAAGGGATGAAAGAAAAGAATTGTCTCCTGTAATTCTAGATCTGGCAAAACTATCTTTTAGGAATGAAAGGATTATAAAAACATTCACAGATGAAAGAAAACTAAAAGATTTTGTGACTAGCCAGTCTACCCTTCAAAGATTAGCTAAAGGAAATTCTTCAAACAGAAAAGAAATTGTAAAAGAAGGAAACTTAGAACATTGGGAAGGAAGAAGAAACAATAGAGCAGAAATATGGGTTCATACAATAGACAATTTTTTCCTTATCGGTTTTAGAGAATATATTTTATGATTGAAACAAAAATTGGAACATCATCTGATACTTAAAACAATGATATTTAAAGGTGGGGAATCCAAAGGGACCTAAATGGAAGTGAGGTTTCCACACTTCATTTGAAGTGGTGAATATTGATACTAGTACATTGTTATAAGTAGCATGTGTAACACCCAGAGCAACCACTCTGAAAACTATACAAAGTGACAAACTCAGAAGTATTATAAATAAATCAAGATGGAATCTAAAACATGTTTAAATAAGCTACAGAAAGGCAAGAAAGATAAAAAGAAATGAGAACCAGAGGAGACAAGTAGAAAATAAATAACAAAATAACAGA